CAGGTAAGTTAGATATCTTGATAAAAGAGTTAGCACAAAGGATCTCATATAAAGTGTAATAAACTTAAAATAAGACCCAGAACTTGAGAGCTTTCGAATAGCTCAACTCATATAACAATCAATTCACAAAGGAATTAAGGCTGACAATTCCTCAGTGTAGTACCATCACATGAAACCTATATAATTGTACATGAAGTAAATGATATCACTTTTCAAGTGGAAACAAACTGATGAAAACCAAGAAAAAAGTTAAAATAATAAAAGTAAGTTTTCACTGAAAACTGTCAAAGTGAAGTAAAATAGGAAATAGAAAAATATTAAAATTTTGTGTGAAATTCCAAAAAAAAAGGAAGAGAGTACAAACAGTGTAACTATCAAAATTTAAAGATAATATTGTGTATGTATATGGGTTCTGATTTTTTACCAACTGTCGAAATAAATGACTTTTACATATATTTCTTAATAATATAAATATATTGTTATATCTCCGTTCGTTAGTTAATTTTCCGTAAATTCGTTCCGACAAAACTTTAGCGACACAAGTCCTTTCTTAAATAAAACTGGTTTATTCACGCCACCTCCTTCTAGAAATATACTGTTCTTTCGTGAATTGGCGGGAGAGTACTAGATTGGGGGTAACCTGGTATATATAAGATGGTCACAACGTGACGGGATAATGAGTAATTGAACGGCAGTCAGAGAGTGTGTAATTGAACTGAGTATTGTTGAAGTCGAGCACGTGAGACGTTCGTTGAGAATTATAGCGCGACTGTTGAAATTAAGTGTATCGCGAAGTTATATTCAGAAAGATACTTGGCACGTGACATCGCTGACGCAACAATGTAAGTGGCTATTGTTCGGGACGAACAATACTAAGGAGGGGCAGTAAACCAATAACAATTAACAATAACTTAATTAAATGTACAGAATTACAAACACAAAATTACAATTCAACAAAGTCTCTTAATTTTACGGGACGTATCTTCTTCCGTACTGGTCTCCGTCTCGTTGGCTTCTGCTTCACGTGAGGTTCATCTGCTTCATCAGGAAATGTCCCATCGTCGATAACAGTCACATCAGTGGTAGTAACTTCATCAAGAGCTTCACCGTTTCCCTTCTCAAAACTGAGTAGAGTTTCTTCTTCGACATTGGCTTTTTAGGTGACACCTCTTCGGCAGCGTCATTTGTTCCTTTGTTCACTTCGTCCCAACTGAAATGTCCTGGACCGTGATAACGCCAAAGCCTGTTGGCATGCACCACTTTTGGCTTACCTCGCCGACCACATTTGATTCGGAAAGTCACGTCTGAGAGACGATCCACTATGTCATATGGGCTTTCCCATGGAGAAGACAACTTAGGAGACTTCCCTTTGGTCTTCCTGGAATTATACCACACATTGTCTCCTGGTTCAAAGCTGACTTCAGTAGATCTCTTATCATAAGATAGCTTCATCGAATCAGCAGACGTTTTCAAGTTTGAACGCACTTGATGGTGAATATCATCCATTCTTTCCGATAACACTTTCACAAACTCTGACACATTCTCAGGCAACTCTTCATAAGGTGTGCATCCTGTTAACAGATCCACTGGCAACCGAAGTTCCCGACCAAACATCAACTTTGCTGGAGTGTATCCAGTGGTTTCATGCTCTGCTGTCCTATAGGCCATCAACAGTGGAGGGAGTAAAACATCCCAGTCATCTTGGCGGCTCCAGGACAACGCCACTTCACCCACAGTCTGATGGGATGGTAGAAAAGTACAACTGGACACTGGGACAGGAATTGCCAAAATTTTGTAATTCTTTCGGATGCCAAACAACTTGCAGCATTCTTGGAACACAGCTGATTCAAAGTTACGGCCTTGATCTGAATGCAGTTCATATGGCATACCAAATCTGATGAAGAAGTCACTAATAGTCGAAGCTACAGTTGTAGCTTCCTGATTTGGTATTGCATATGCCTCAGGCCACTTGGTGAAATCCCAAACTCGTGCTGGAAACAAGTACATTTGTGTGGTGATGGATTGCAGAGGACCAGCAATGTCGACAAGCTACTCTTTCCATTGGTGCACCAACTTGATATAACTTCATTGGAGCACGTCCCTTATGCTTGGGTCCCCTTTTAGCACAACATGTACTGCATGTTCTGCACCATTCTTCTACATCTTGTCTCATACCTATCCAGTAAAATCTCTGTCGTAGGTGACTCAATGTTTTCTTAACTCCGAGATGTCTTCCTGTTACAGTATCATGGGATTGACGCAGCACAACTTCCCGTAACTTTCTCGGTATAACCGTTTGCCAGGTCGTCACTTTCCCATCTGCAGTTTCCCATCTCTGGAGAAGAATACCATATGCAAGCTTTT